GGCCCCCTTGATGGCGGCCGCCGGCTTCCACGCGTCGCCCATGTCGGCCGACCGCGTCGTCTCCTTCATGGACCAGATCCGCATCTTCCAGGATCAGGTGGAGAAGCTCAACCGGCTGCAGGTGGATTCGGCCGAGTACAGCTGCCTCAAAGCCATCGCACTCTTCACACCGGGTAGGTTGCCGCCAGCACCGTGGTTGAGCCCATTCCGTCCCCAGAAGCCATGGGCTTGGAGAGGGGACTGGGGGAGCATCCGCTTCCCGCAGGGGAAGGGGATCAGTCAGGGCTCATCCAGGAGGGGTTTGTAGGTGACTCCTGCTCCCGTTTGCAGCATCTGAGTGATCCCCAGGGCCGCAGCTGCTTCCCAGAGCCTGGTTGGGAGCTGCCCGGAGGTGACAGCCCTTAATGACCCTAGCTGGGGGGATGCAGCCGTGCCCGGCCTTGGGTACCCCTCTGACCACCCTGTCCCCTTGCAGACGCCTGTGGCCTCTCGGACCCGGCCCACGTGGAGAGCCTGCAGGAGAAGGCGCAGGTGGCCCTCACCGAGTACGTGCGCTCGCAGTACCCGTCGCAGCCGCAGCGCTTCGGGCGGCTGCTGCTGCGATTGCCCGCGCTGCGCGCCGTGCCCGCCGCCCTCATCTCCCAGCTCTTCTTCATGCGCCTCGTGGGCAAGACGCCCATCGAAACACTAATCAGGGACATGCTGCTCTCTGGGAGCACCTTCAACTGGCCCTACGGCACGGGGCAGTAGGGCTGCACTAGCCCTGTGCCACCGGCGAGCTCGTGGCAGGGCCAAGCGCGCGCTGCCGCCCACTGTGCTGCCTTCGGACGCTGAACGTTTCCTCGGACGCCTGGGCCCCTGGGCTCCGATCAGGGCAGAGGGACTTTGGACCAGGCCCAGGGGTTATTCCCGGTGTTGGAGCCAGCCCCTCGCTCGCTGCCTCCATCTCGAGGGTGGATGTTGGGATGGAGGCGCGGGGATGAGGCTCGGAGCGCCGGATCCAACGCGGGATCCGGCACAAGCAGGGGGTGGTTGAGCCCTCCTTGTGCCCAGCCTGGCCCCCAGGACTGAAGCTCTGCGCCCAGCCCCGGCCCCGCACTTTTGCTGAAGCATCTCCAAGGCCGGAGCGGGTGCCAGGGAGCCGGGAGCACCCAGCCCTGTGTGACACCAGGGACAAATATTGGGGTTTTACCCCCAGTTTCCCCTTCCCGTGCCCCTGGCGCCTGTGGCTTTGCTAGCTCCAGATTGCTGCTCACTCGCTCGGTGCATGAGCAGGGCCCTCCCTGGGCACCGGCCTGGGCCAGGGGGCTCCAAGGACCAAAGTGGGGCTGGGAGGGGGGAAGGAGGAGCCCAGGGGACAGCAGAGCCCCCCCGAGCGCCCCGGGCGCTGCTTCTCAGGGCGATACTGTGCAAACAGGCGAAGGCAGGATTAGGCGGGGATTTGTCATTTAGATTGATTCACTGCAAATATAATCCTTGTTCAATGATACTAAACAAATTAACTGAAGTCAATAAAGATGTTTCTTACAATGCCGGGGCTCTGGTGTGAAGCGGGAGGGCCCTGATGAGCCAACCCTGAGAAGGACCCTCAGAAAGCAACAACCATCCCAGTGTCCCTATGGTAAATGGCCGCAGCTGCGGCCGGGCGGATGCACATGGAGCACGGATGCACACGGAGCCGGAGCATGGATACACGTCCCTCTGGCGGACACAACCACCACTGCAGCCAGAGCAGCCCTGCACTGGCTGCAGCAGCCCCAGCGCAACCCTGCACCCGCTGCATGCAGATCCCGGGTGCACTGCGGCATCCCTGGTACAATCCTGCACTCATTGCACACAGATTGGGGTGTAGGATCCTCAGGGCAATCCTGCACCCATTGCATGCAGGGCCACAGTGCAGGATCCTCGGAGCAATCCTGCACCCACAGCAGGAGCCCTGGAGCACCCATTGCCTCCCGCTCACCCTCCCAGCACCCGAGAGCCCGGGACAAGGAGGGCCTCAGAGCCGGGTGTACAGCAGGACCCCGCAGCCAGCCCTGCTCCCCTTCCCTTGGCGAAAGCTCCAAGGTTGATGATTAAACCTTGCCCTGGTTCCAGCCCCGCTCCCCTCAGGGGGAGGAGGGA